CAAAGCTTCTCATTCATTTCTGGAGACAGTTTTTGAGTTTTTTTCTCAATAAAAGGCAGGAAAACAAGCGGAAGGCTGTAGTATTTTACATCTTGGTTGTGAATATCTTGAAGTTTGAAGTACGACAGTTTTCTTCTCAATCTCATGTTGAGTTCTTGAGGTCTTCTTTTGATGCCTTTTTTGCTTTGCATTTATATGTTTTGCAAAATAAAGCCTCACTTTTGTTAACAAGTATTTCAGAAAACTTTAAACTTTAGCTAAATTCTTTCAAAGTAAACTAAAACTTCGCCTTTTGAGCGACTCAAACACTACATGACTTTTGGCACGTACAGGAAGCYCTTCCAATGCAGTTCTCGTTTGACATGCGCTGTCAACTTTACTTTTTGTTGCTTCACCTCTTTTTGATCTCAATGCCTTGCCATATAATAAATATCTTATTAACCTCGTTTGCTCGGTCCGTACCGTAAGTTATGGATCCTCGTTTTTTCCACTTTTTTATGRCCCGCGCGCTACGCGCTTGGGCCATAAGGCAGTGGAAAAAACTCGGTCCATAACTTACGRTACGGACCTCGCACTCGGTTAATAAGAGCTATATTATCCACTTCAACTGCAACGTTCCGGAAATATAAAAACGCTCAAATTTAGTAACAGTTTGAAAAGTTGAAAAAAAGTGACAAAATTGGTTTCAGATATCTTTCACAGGAGGAAAGAAAGATTCAATGATTTTAATGAGAATTTGATGGGAAGCGTAGTTTCTATGGTGGCGGACTGATAGGCGATGGGCTCTCTTGGGGGGTCCCGCGAGTCCCTAAAGTGGCAAATTAAAATTCAATAGATTTGCATATACGTCCATTGACAAGTAAATGCACTGATTCGATTGTATAACACAAAGAAACTGCTTGCTCAATATTTGGCACAAARATAAGAAACCTGCTAATGAAATCGTCTAGTTTTCAAAGTAATGCTACCACCTAGCTTTAGCATAAACGAATACAAAGCTCCCAAGAAACCAGGAAAATCAGTCATTGGAATTATTCTAATACTTAGCACAACGTTTTGGGTTGTTGCTTTGAACTACTCTCAAGTTGACGCTGAATTCACTGGAGGTAAGCCTTGAAAAACTTCAAGTCGGGTTTTTTAAACAATTCTTTTCACATCATTTGAATTCCAATGGTGCAATCTTTTCTAATTAGTACAGAATTGAACGTCTTTTCATCTAAAGATTCGATATTCCATTGAACTAAACCTTGCGTCCAGTAGTGTTTACAAACTTCACCACACGACACATTTACGTCTTATTTGCCATGTTTACAAGATAAAAATGCCAGTTATCACTCCTCTTTTAAACAGAATGCGTCATAGGTTAACTTCTAGAGGTGATTCTAGGACTATATAACCTTATTTCTCTCAAAAAATAAAGTAAAATTTGATCTTTTGCGTTTTATTAGTTTTATCTTGCACGTGGTTCAGCTGTCTGCACGTATCTTAATGAATAGCGCTATAAGCACTTCCTTCACACATCTATGATAAAATTTCTCGCTGTTAACTAATCCTCTTTCTTTTATAAAATCCTTGGTGTGTCAAATAAAAACATATTTTTGTTTAAAGATGGATTCGATCGTTGTACATCGGAGAGCGAACGAAACAGGCTTTATAAAACATGCATGTAACAAGACGAACTTTTTTGTACAAATTTATAAACGCTATACACAAAAAACACATTTAATAACTGTCTTCAATGTCTTAATAGTTATTTCTTTATATTTTCATAGTGCTCCAGTACACTTTTGTTTTTACTTTTTAAATTTTTGTGACGTTTCTTAATTTTTGATTGATGAATTTTTAATAATTTATTAATATTAATATTTTGTTTTATTATTTCATTTAGGCAAAATATGCAAGACAAACCAGTTCCGATGTAAAGATGGATCTCAATGCATTTTTCATTCTTGGAGATGTGATGGCGAAAAGGACTGCAAGGATGGAAGTGACGAAAAACTTTGTGGTAAAAATAAACTGAATTTATATTCGTATTTATGAGATATTTTAGATATAACGCACACACTGATTGGCTGGCTATATGTCGATCATTACACATAGTAGCAGTTCACTTTACTTGGCAGTTATGTAAGTTTGAATTATTATCATACAAAGTCATATTTTCCTTCGCTGTATTCATATAATTAGTATTTTTAAAACTATATGATTTAGCCAGATCTACCTTTCATCTAACAGATATACCTAGAATTCTGTCAAAAAATTTATTATTTTTAGTGTCTTATATTTTAAGAACAGTACTAAGAAAATGATTCCCATAACTTGTTTTGTAAATTTTAAAAATTGTTAACAAAATTAAAGATTAACCAGGATTATGATTAACAAAAATAATACAGTGATCAAAATACTGAATATTAAGTTTTGTTTTGGAATAAAAGACATCTTCCATGTTCATGGATATATTTATATTCTTGACCTTTGTTGATGAGGCCAATATTAGCACCCACTTAAGACTTGGAGGTTAATTAATAAGTTGTGTTATATATGTTAGTATTTGTTCCAGTGCTCAAACATGCTTTACTCCACATGGGGTATATGCTGCCGATATATAGTCTGTTGAGTGCATGACACTATTGAAGTTTAGTTGAAGGCTGGTATTAACTGTTGCATAGCATCTTAATCCAAAACTAATAATCCTCTTAGGTTAAAATTATTATTCCATGGTTATTGCATTGTTAAAAATAAAAATTATGGCCAAGAATTGTGCAATGAATTTGCTATAATCCTCCTAATCTTATTGCATTGTGGTACTTAATAGACCAAGTATTATTTTCTAACAGCTTCCAAGCTATAGATACTGTATGTAATAGTCTATTATTGAAATAAGCTGATTATATAACATAAATAGATTAAACACATAATGCTGAATATTATAAGAAATATGAAACATCTCACTCACTTATCATATTTATTGAACAAAACTAAATGCAGATATTACACATTTATTTAGTGGTTTTCTCAGAAGTAATAGCTGCCAAGTCTCAAGTCTCAAGTTTATTCACACACAATAAATACAATTACAAATTATAATTCACAAAATTAAATTGTCATACTCATTAATAATTCATGAGGAAAACACAAGAGAAATCACGGCCGTGAAGAGTGTCGTAAATCTGATACAAAATTGTATTTATTTGCATAAACTTTAAGTTTGATTTTCTTGGCCAGATTCACTTTAATTTTGAAAATTTTAGTGAAACACAAAGGAACTATTACCTAGACGTTTGACAAGCAATCTACAGTATTCGTGGCCGTGTTATATCCAATATACAAACTTGAGGCTATGCCTCGAGTTTGTATATCTGATATAACACGGCCACTCATACTGTAACAAAGATATTACGTGTGTGTGTGGCTGTTGAAGTAGGCTGTATAAACGTTCAAGTCAACAGCCACCTAAGTACTCAAACAATTGATTTAGAAATACACTGAACAAGGGGACAATAAATTATTCTATAGATATAAATTGATATTTAATGTTAATATATAAAGCTATATACAGTATGTTAATGAAAAAGATAAGATATAATGTGAATCCATAGATAACTAAGTTGAGATCATATCTGAGATTTATCATTAAGTACTATATGCCATGTTTATGATTTCATGTTTCTCAGTTTGCATACATTACACAAACAAAGACTATCAATATCATAAACTGTATATACGTTTGTGTTGCCCTCAGGGCTAAAATGATGGCTGACAGACCACTGTGGATTGATTAACAAATGACCAGTGACCTGAGTGAATGTGACTTCTGTTCAGGAGTAATGCCAGCACAAAAATCAACTTCTAAATTCCAATTGGAATTTCAGTGGATGAAGAGCCACTCTGTGGAAATACCACTGCTAAATCCTATTTCTTTATTTATTTTGCCAAACAAGTGTTATTTTTGACTGGATTAAAACTGCTAACACCTAATAAATTAGTCAAGTAACAGATCCAAAGAGAGATAAAGTTATTCTAAGGTTTTATGATCTCTTTTAAGGTAATGTGACAACTTGTTCATCCAGAGAGTTCCTTTGTAACAACCAGTGTGTACCTTTAGCATGGAAATGTGATGGTGAAAAGGATTGCAAGCCAGACGGGTTTGATGAAAGAGGATGTGGTATGTCAGAGGAAATTTGTTTCCTTTTCACTTCAGCAGATAATTGTAAAAATTGTGCTTCATATATATGGGTGTGCCCTGCTCCTGTGACCAAGCTGATGCTTTGTTAAAGCAGTCTTGATGAGATAATTGTCTTCATATTTCTGTATAATTGTAACCTTGCCAAATTGCAATACCGGTTAGCAATAATTGCCACACTACAGTGACCTCTTGTTATAGTAGATACCCTCAGGATGGTGTCAATAACATTAACAAGTGTCTGCAATACAGGGCCATAGCCATCAGTATTGTTTGCCTGGTTTTAACCACACCACCTTTTTTCTTTCAGAACCATTTTTCCCCTCATAAAAAAATTAATATTTATTACACAAGTTAATAAAAAAACACCTTTTAAAAAAACTGGACCACTGTTCAAGTAGTTGCTTGATAATAGTTTGTCACTGAGAACCCATATTTGCAAATTATGAACCCTTACATTATTATTAATTATTTCTTGCAGCTCCAGTTACTTGTGCAAGCACCCATTTTAAGTGTCATAACAGTTCAATTTGTATTCCAACAATATGGCTGTGTGATGGAGAGAGGGAGTGTGAAGATGGCAGTGATGAGTTAAACTGTGGTACGTAATTTATGGCTAATCTTCATTTTATAAAACTAGGAACAAGTTTACAGTAAATCTTATCAAGTGTTGTCTCGTAGGTTGATTTTATAATTGTAAACTATAAATGTTTTTTCACCAAAAGTAATTCATTCCAAGCTTGGGCTCCCATCCTCGGGGATTATGACGGTATTATTTGACCACTTTACAGGGCTGTATTAATCATTTGATGCAAGGCGGGGGATTTCCATTTGAAAGGGGTAATTATTCAATAGTTTTTGTTGCCACACTGATCAGGTCTAAACTTGTGACAGTACACGTAAAGGGTAATTTTCAAAAATGTATTGAAAACCCTCTTTCGTATGGGAGCCACCCATAGTGGGAAAATTCTCTAACTTGTTTCAATAGTGTGGACCAGATATTATTATATTATAATTTCATACAATGTGTATATACATATTGTTTTTTATTGTTGTTGTTCCGATTGATTAGTATTAATCAATATGCTGCTAGACCAAACTAAGTTTATAATAATTATGTTCACTTGATTCATTTCAAAACTGTTTCAGATAACTTTACTTGTGCTAGCCATGATTTTAGTTGTGCTAATGGAAAGAAGTGTATCAGTTCACGATGGGTTTGTGATGGTGAAAATGATTGTGGTGATTTCTCTGACGAAAAAAATTGCAGTAAGTAATAATGAATAATGAACAGAGTAAACAAGTAAATATATTTTTTATATTCAAGCATTATGTCATTTTCAGGCCAGAGCCATATTTGACCTGCCAAAATCCAATTATGGATAAACAAAAAAAATCTCACTCAGTTATTATTTTTTTGCATTGACTTGTGGTGGCAGAAATTGTTTTTGGTCTAATATCCGGCTATTAGGCAAATGCTTTTACCAGTCACATAGTTGTTTTTACTGGAAATTAATTATTTTGTCCAATGGCTAGCATTGATTTGCACTCTGCATGCTTACTAGCTAGATTTGACTCTGTAGCTCAGCTGGAGGAGGAGGGTACTCTGATTGAAGAAGGACAGGCATGCTCGTTTAGGGTACTGGATCTGCAACATGGTATCTCTTAGGGTCCCACTAAAAGTAACACCAGAGAGTAACATGGTACCTCTAAGAGAGTTTGTCAGGAAATATGATGCCTGTTATTAGATAATGACAGCCAGAATAGCAATTGTAATTCAGGATATTTATTACTGTTTATCTTCTGAGTTTTGTTAAATAGATGGTACTTTCAGGAGGGAACTCACTAGTTGCCACACCCACCTGGACAGGACTTTGGTACCTTTTTGGGGGTTATTCTCAAAATCTTCAACACCATCCCCACCCAAATATAATAATGGGAGACACCCTGGGATTAATCGGAGGGTCGTCACTTTATTTACTATTACCTTTCTTGATTTTAAATCTTGATTTATTTTAGAACCTCGTACATGTGATTCAAATGAGTTCAAGTGTCCTAATGGTTTGTGCATCAATAAAGGATGGGTGTGTGATGGGCAAAATGATTGTGGAGACAGGTCTGATGAACCTCCTAGCTGTGGTATGTGCCTTACCTATCATTATTACTTCTATAGCACAGTAATATGTAGCCATGAGAGTCAGGATGGTTTTGTTGGTAAACTGCTTGCCCCTCGCCTCTATATCTGCTGTAGCAACTTCAAATTAGCTTAAGAGCTGTGGTCTGAGGTCATACATGGACTGCATAGTGGCTGACAGAGGTGCCTTTCCATTCAGAACTTGTAGTTGATCTCACTGAACTGCTTTTGTTGTGTTGGTGATTCAATGGAAATAAACAACAGTTTTGTCAGTTCCAATTTATCCAATGAACTATAGAAATACATCCAATTGTGAATCAAAATTATAATTCCACTCTCCCTTCCCAGTATTTCTCTAGGCTGTGTGGTGGCTATCCATTGCAGGTGTTTTAAGAAGGGGGACTGAGGAGAGATATCGCCTTTCCTTTCCCCTCTCCCCAATCTACTCCCCTTCCCATCTCTTTCTCCCCCTGGTCCTCCTACACTAGAGGTCCATTTCCCAGGCTATTACATGTCTGGCGTGCTTCATGCTTTCTCATTAATGCCCCACTTCAGAAATTATAAGATAATCATAGAGAGAAATATGTTGAATTTGCAGGTCAGAAGCCATGTGACCCGTCGATAGAGTTTCAGTGTCACAATGGGAAGTGCATCCATAACAAGTGGAAGTGTGATGGTACTGATGACTGTGGTGATGGAAGTGATGAGAAAGGATGTAAGATAATAAACTTATTAAGTATTCAGGCTTATTATAGGCTTATTATTCACTTGGCACATATCTTGACATGAAATATTTTTTACATTTAATTTTGTTATTTCAAGGAGTTTGAAAAAATGCCAAATTAAAAAGCAGTGACAAATAAGTGTTGCAAAAATATATTAGTGTTGCAAAAATTGAGTACCCTCAACTATTGAGGAGAAAAAAATGCTGGCCATATTTACATGTAAAAAGCAGGGATGAAAGATGTCTTTACTGACTCCATAGAACTGGCGCCTATTTATACAGTCCAGCACTGAATGGTTACTACCAGTTATTCTTTATACTCAAATCAAAAACAACAAATTAATGCAGATTTCTATACCGGTTTTATTTGTTGTTAATATATAACTCTTTTTCTAGGCCCTGTCAACTGTGGCCCAAATGAATGGCAGTGTATTGGAACCAACCACTGTATCCAAATTACCAATGTCTGTGACGACAATAATGATTGTGGGGATAATTCAGATGAGGGTTCTCAATGTAGTAAGTGTCCTGAGTTAGCTGTGAAGCCAGTAGTGAGTGCTTTGTGATGACACTAATACCGGTAGTGGCTGAGTGTGTTTTATCAGGTTCTCCAGTTTTCCTACCACTCCAAAACCTAACATAAAGTCCAATTCAATTTGTGAGCTAGCCATGCCCTGACTTTGGTCAGCCCAGAGGCTGTTTTGGGTTTAACGGGTGTAAAAGTTTTTGTTTTATTCATTGTTTGTAGTGAACAGTGACTGTGATAGCAAGAACTGTAGTCAGCTGTGCCAACAAACCCCCAAAGGAGCCCACTGTTACTGTAAACCAGGCTATGTTCTTGGTAATGACAGTGTCACATGTCAAGGTTAGTGAGATGATCAGTATGTTGTCAGGTTTGTATCATTTGACAAACAGGCAGCCCAAGCAATTTATTTGTGGTGTGTGTTAAATGCTTTCATTTGCACCACAAATAAATTGCTTGGGCTGCCTGTGTTTGACAGACATGATCAATATTTGGATGATTTTCATGACATGTCTCGATATCATCTGAGGATCCTCCTTCTTATTACCCATTCCAAGGYTGAGAAAAAGACTGTGTCCTGTTGGCATTGCAATGCATTTTGGGGCTGTTTTAGGGGATGGAATATATATAGCCACCATCGATCTTGGAAATAAGTGACCCCTAAAACAGCCCCACAATGCACTGCAATGCCAACCTTACCCAGTTTTTCCCATACTGGGAATGGCTATAAACTGTTACCATTGATGTTTAGACTTTGACGAGTGTCAAGATCTTGGTCTTTGTGATCACATCTGCATCAATACTGAAGGTTCCTATAAGTGTAAATGTCATGAAGACTACATCCATATCCCTCCACGAACATGTCGACCTAAAGGTAAGGAAGACTTCTGCACACTAGACCTCTTCAGCTTGGGTGGGGTAATGTCTTACCATTTCAGACCACGTGTTGTTCCCTTGAGTATTGTTTTTTCCATAAGGGTTTAGCATGGGAAGACACATGAGTATGGATAAGACTCAAACAAAGAACTGATCTATTTTCCAAGTGAAGAAGACGAGGTCTGAAATGAAAAAAAAAACATTACTTCCAAGATAAAGCCCGGGGTGTATTGAACTGAGGAATGCGCTTGTGCTTTTACTCCGACGAAGGACCGTAACGTCCGAAACGTCAGTATAGTTGCACATGTGTGTACATCTGTACACCACTTTCAGACTCATTTACTCAGGGTTAGCCTCATTTCGGCGTCAAAATATTYACAAATACCAACGGTAAAGTAAAAGAATACACAACTACGACAATGCGACACCTCTGAAATTCCACCGACCTTCACTAGGACACGTGAATATTCTGCACAGCACAAAGTCTAAGCTAACCCTGAGCAACAGAGAACTCGAAACTGGAGTATTTCCTTCTTTATAGTACACTCAACAAAATTACTCGACTCTGATTGGTGGAGAGGA